GCAGGAGTGGGTGGGTGGTAGAACACCCTCATAGAAGCAGGGGAAGAACAGATGGGATGGGGATTTCCAGAGGCGAAACCTGGAAAGGGGATAACATTTGAAATGTAAATAAATTAAATATCCAATAAAAAAAACAAGCATTTTGGTAGGTCCTTGTATGTTCCACTTCCATCCAACACAATAGAGTAAAATAAAATAATATTTCAAAAGGCAGAAAGGGCATGATAATCTTAACAAAATCTTGAAGTCCCCAACTATGGTGTTTTTACTCTAATCTCCTCCTGTGCCTTCCTCCAGCTTAGGCACTTCCTACTCACCTCCCTAGATCCTGACATGCTGGCCTGGCATAGTAAATTATAATATTACTCATGATTTTCTGTCTGCAGTTGCTCTTCAAATGTATTGGATCCAACACTTTCCTGCTGCCTTCCATTCAGCTCTCTTTCTGATTACAGGCTTCCTGAAGTTTGAGCATAGAGCTGGGCTAAACTTTGCCTTCTCTCTGAGGGTTGCTAAGGAGCAAGTGCCCCTGTGGCACAGGGTGGTGTTCTGAGAAAAGCTGGTGTTTAGTGATCAGAGGGCAGAAAGCCCCACCCACCTGCACAGAAGGGAAGGGAGATTGTGCTCCCTAGAGTAATACCCACTAGCTAACACCTCTCGTTTTTGCCCATCCACCAGGATCTGGGGTCAGAACAGGAAAAACTAACACACTCTAAAGTTCTGCTAACTCTTTCTCCTTCTCTGTTTGCTGGCCACTCCTGCCTCCCCTGGCACAAGAAAAGGGAGAAAATTCATTAAAAATACAGTGTAGCATGTGAAAAAAAGAGACAAATAAACCCGTTTTGCTTTAGTTTGTAAGGTCAGTACAAACAGATCCAGGCAGGACACGACCAACATAGTAACATTTCCCCAAGTCTTGACACAGGAAAGTTCTCTTTTCCTCTCTCCCACAGGGCTCCCTTGTTGAAACGTGCTTTGCAGTCTGCCCTTTTCTTCATGAGGTCAACCTTGCAATGTGTGTAATAGTCTCTGCAGCTCCTGCTACTTCCTCTTCTGCCCCTACCCCGCCCGCCACTAGCTGTGTAAAATGTCTGCTTCCTCTTCCTTGGATTTATAGTTCATTTTTTAGTGTGCATTTTCTAGCTACAACTTCTTTAAAATTACAAAATATTTTAAGTATATATCTGCACCTGTGTGAAGATGTGTGTTCTAATTATCTTATCTGTGCCTGTCTGAAGTTAGGAGTGCAGGCCCTAGAGGCCTAGAGTTACAGGAAACCAGTAGGGAACCACCTGACATTGACGTTGGGATTTGAACTCTGGTCCTCTTGAAGACCAGTGCACACTGTTAAACAGTGATCTGTCCAGACTCAAGTGTAAGCTATTGACATATTTGTACCTTAAGGAGATTGCCAAAAGTGGGTCTATAATGGAAGTTAAGCTCTTCATTACAGTGTCCTAATTCTTTTCAATAAGACAATATTATATTGCATGGCTCTACCCACTAATAAGAATGGATTTGTGGCTAAAGATGCAGCTCACTTGGTAGAGTGTTTGCCTAGTGTTTCAGAGGTCCTGGGTTCATGAAAAACATCACATATAGTAGGAGTAGTGGCACATAACTGTAATGCCAGCACTCAAAAGAAGTAGAATCAAGAAAATCAGAAGTTTTAGGCCATGTTTATATACATAAAGAGTTACAGCCAGACTGGGATACATGAGACAGGAGTCTTGAAGTAGGAATAGGCAGGGGGAGGAGGAGGAGGGAGAGAGAGAATGGAGGGATAGGGAGGAGAGGAAGGGAGGGGGGAAAGAGAGAGACTGGGCAAATGAATTTGATGAAATTTCAGCTTTGTTAATGTTAAAGTGAGGATGACAATACCAAAAGAGTGTGACTTCAGTGTAGGTTGCTCAGAAAATAAGTATAATGAGTTATAGCTGTTAGACTCTGCGTACTGCTTAGAAATCATATCATTGGGTAAGACAGTATTTGTCTTCAAGGAAATGAGATTTCACAAGATAAAATTAAACCATACTATGTGAATTCAGTCAGGAATCCAGGAATGACAGAGATTAACAAACTTGAGGCATGTTTAGTGCTAGAAAAATATGAGAATAAAGTAGTTTTTTTATTTCCTTTAGGTTTTTTATTGATTATTTTATTTACATTTCGAATGTTGCTCCCTTCTTGGTCTCCCCTCCAAGAACCCACCCCATCCCATCACCACTCCCTTTGCCTCTGAGAGGGTACTCCTCTAACCATCCACCCACTCAACTCATCCCTCTAGTATTCCTCTTCACTGGGGCAACAAGCCTTCATAGGACCAAGGGCCTCCCCTCAGTAGAGGATTGCCTTATTTGGCATCAATAAGAGGGGAGGCCCTTATTATGTATGTAGCAGGAACCATGGATCCACCTATGTATATATACTCTTTGGTTGGTGGTTTGGTTCCTGGGAGCTCTGAGGGGTCCAGTTAGTTGATATTGTTATTCTTCCTATGGGGTTGCTATCCCCTTCAGCTCCTTCAGTTCTTCTCCTAATTCCTCCTTTAGGGAACCTATGCTCAGTCCAATAGTTGGCTGCAAGCGTCCGCCTCTGTATTTGTCAGGCTCCTTCACAGCCTCTCAGGAGTCAGCTATATCAGGCTTTTGTCAGCATGTACTTCTTGGCATCAGCAGTAGTGTCTGGGTTTGATGTATGAGGATGGGATGGCATTTCCTTCAGTCTCTGCTCCATTTTTTTTGGTCCCTGCATTTCCTTTAAACAGGAACAAAGAATAAAGCATTTTAAGGGAGAAGAAAAAGTCAAGAATGCCACGTTTGAGATAGCATCTGGAAAAGCCAGTAATATGTATGCTGAAAATGTGTTTAGCAATGATATTTACCAGAGATGAAAACAGTATAAGTGGGGATTTATTGAAATGCACTACAGTGACATAGATGATGAGTTCACAGCAGAGTTCACAGGGCATGAGAATATTTGGGAATCTCATAGCAGTTGAGAGGAAAGTTCTTGATCTTAAGGGCTGTTAGTACAAGTGCCCTAATGAGATAGAGGTGGGTTTCTTTCTGTCTCTTTACAGAATAACTTATTTTAATTTTTTGAGACTGGCCATTTTGCTTCATTTACTTGTCAGTAAAAGTTAGGCTCCACATGTTTACATAAAACATGAGTCACTGATATTGGGTTCCAGGTAGATAGCAGAAATGCTAAAACATGATTGCTGACCTTTTTGTCTTTGCTGTTAAGTAAGCTGGTTATTGGAGATTTAGGAGCACATAAAAAATTAAAAGATGGAAATTGGGATAAATGCAGAAAATTGCATCTGGTTTCATGTTGGATTGTGATTTTTAATATTTCTGAGGCTTTTTACTATCATAATAAATGCAGATAATTATAGCTTGAAGATTTGCTCTGATGATTAAATAAAAAAAACTTCCTTGTGATATTTTACTTTGAGGCACACAATTACATACTGCGTATATTCTTATTAATCTATGGGTAAGCAGAAGACTTTGAAGACTTTAGGTTTGTATGAAAGAAAGATCAACTACTATGACAAATGTTGTGTGTATGGAGGCAAGATTAGAATCAGCTATTGTGATCTAAGTATAGAAAGGGGATGCCAGATTTGAAAGACAGACATTTTAAGGACAGGCCATTGGTAGTACAACTTGGACCAATGAAATGTAGGGATGAAGGAAAACAACATGGAATATAACCAGTGATGAAATTTAAGTTAGGAGGAATTTGAAATTTCTATTTTCTTTTAATAGTCTTTTGTGGTAGCATTGATAAAATATATATTTTAAGTTTTTGTAACACAGTGTTTGATATATGCCACACACATTTGATGTGGAATGAAACTGTGTATATGTTCTTTCAGAGTACATATTTACACATATACATAACATACACTGCAGTGCCTAAGGGCATGGAATCTTAGTTCAATTGTCTGCTGAAACTTGTACTTCTATTACTTACTAGTATTGTGACGGTCAAAAATATATATTCCTTTTCTTTTGTTTCCTCTGAAAAATGAATAATCATGTGTTTCTTAAATAATCTACACGACAATTTATAATGCTTGTCATAACCAAATGTGTTGACAAATGCCTATAATCCCAGCTCTTGGGAGGCAGAGGCAAAACTATTGTCATGAAGTTAAGGGCAGTCTAGTCTCCACAACATAGTCTAGATCAGCCAGTGCTACATTGTAAGACTGTGTTGTAAACACAAAATCACATAAAAATCAATTTAGTATCATAAAATCATTAGAAATGCTTCATTTGTTCAGGGACCATCATGGAAGAGGGCATGGAAAGATTATAAAATCTAGAGGTCAGAAAGAAGCAGAGGAAAACTATCGTCTGGACAGGACATGACCACTGCACACATCAACTCACAGCAGCTGTGAGTAAGACCTGTACAATGTCAAGCTAGTCAACATTCAGACATGGAAGGCAAAGTGGCTAATGGCCTCATACCCCATAACTGAAGATCTATTGACAGCCAGTGGCTTCTGCGGGGAGGGAGAGGAAGGTGTAATCCTTGAAAGAATTAATAAAAAATATGTTTAAAGAAATGTTTAATTCAGTATTTCATCTCATGAGTGTATGAATTAATAAAAAATGTGTGTTTCTTTAAGAAAAGTCTTTAGTATTTCCTGTCATGAATGTATCAAAATTTATATAATCAGTTTATTTTTGATGCTCATTTAGTTTGTTTCAAATTACGACTTTTTACCAAAGATGTTGAGGCTGCTCCACCTTTGTCCTACTCAAAAGTGAAAATAACCTTGTCTCTGTCTTTGTGAACATTAAGAACTCCACTACTGTTAACATTTTCCCATCCATTGTCATTGGGAACTTGAAGAAACACTTTCAAGATCCTCTTTTGGTACACGGTCATTACCATACCTCACATGTGACCAGCCCACATCATTTTCCTATTAGGGTTTCAGTCCTGGGGTACTAACGGAAAGCAGAACCAATTTATGTGATTAAAACTGTCATCCTTTGTAAGATGTAAGCAGACGCTGAAACGCAAATCAGACAGAAAGGACTTTTTCTCAGTTTGGACTGTTGGCATCTCAGAGGACCAAATCTCTAGGTATCCTGATATTTGGAAAACGTAAGTCTAAACTCTTACTTAGTTTTATTTGTGTTTCATTTTCTTCTCAAAATTTTTCAAGTATTAACATAGATAGGTTTCATGGAAACATGTGTAATATATAACATAGACCTATGAGATGAAAGCTTTATCTTGAATGAAGGTGACTGACTTTTTTCATTTTTATAGAATTGACGTTTAATTTTGTTCTGTAAGAGACAGGTTTTGCCAGTTAGCCCAGGATGACCTTGAATTTAAGATACTATTGCCTCAGCCTGCTGAGTGCTGGGATTACAGATGTGAAGTATTATGCCTGGCTTTTTACATAGACATTACAGGAAAATTTGAAACTTTTAGAATTATATTAATAAATGATATAAAAGCATGGAATAGCACATAAGGAAGGAAGCCATGAGTCCAAAAGAAGAAAAAGAAAAAATTAAAAAGAAAGGAGAAAGAAAAAGCAGAGACCTACATTATAGGAAAAATAGATAGCTACGATTAAAGTTTAGTTCAGAAAATTTCCATAGGTGTAAGTTTTATTTTAAACGCACTTTTGGACAGTAAATGGCAAGACATTTTATTAACTTCTAAATAAACACTAAAAAAATCCCAGCTCAATATAGTGTTATACATGTCCTTGACTTTGCAATTTTTAAACATTCGCATGGATGCTATGTAATATTCTCACAATAGCCCAATGAAAATGGAAGGGGGTATTATTATAATTTAACTGTTGAGAAAATTGAGAGCCAGAAGTAAGTAAAGTCATCATTGCTAAACAGTAATAAAAAAAAGAATCAAAGCATTTCTAGTTTCATTCTTTGTCTTTTAAGCAACAGTTCTTCCCTAAAACATGGTTCATGTCAGAGAAAAATTTATATTTCTTTACCTTAATTAGATATTTTATATTTTAGGGATACAGTTCATTCATATTTTATAGCTTGTCTAAGAAAATGCTTGGAGAAGCCTTCCTAACTGAATTCCTCTACAAAGAACAGAGACATGCAAAACTTGACAAACCGCTAAGATGTAAGAAGACATCAAATGATAAAAAGGAAAATTGGGAAAATAAGCTTTTAGATATACCGGACAATTCACTTCCCCCTTTAAAGACCGGAAGTCAAGAGAAAGTTATGGAAGGAAGTTTAACTGAACAAGACAATGATTCATCTCAAATGAAATCTATGGACAAGCTACCTGTTGCAAAATGCAAAAGTACAACCCCTCCAGGAAATGTATCTGTTGCATTGCCCATTCCAAAAAGAGGACATGATGAAACACAACTGGATTTATATCGATCCTGGTCATGTACAAGTATTTGCCAGAATTATCCTGACCTACAGATAGGAGGTGACCACGTTAGAAACATGTATGATTCCGGCTGCTTTGTGGAACACACACATGATGATGTTTGTAATGGTCCTCTTTTACTTTCAGTGGATATACCATTGGGCCACTCGCCTAAAATGGAGCCTCTAGAGAAAACATCTACCTCAAAATTATTCAATGGTGATGAAACTCGAGAAAAAAGCATGTTATTACATAAGCAACCCCTCTCTAATTCTATGCTCAATAATTATATGGAAAGAAAGGTGGATGAACTCTATAAACAGTTTTTGGAAGAAAATCTTACCAGGTGCCTCTCTATAACCAACCTCATGGCTTCTAGCATACTGATGAATAATGTCAATCAAATTAGCCTTCAAATCTCTCAAGAGCAGAACATAGAAGCATCCAAAGCCAGAGAAGCCCTCCTCCACTCTTTAGCACTATGTAATCTTCGTAATGTTTCCCACAGAAATAGTACTGAATTAAGCACTCCTAACTTACAAATATCAAACCAGGCTAGTCGGGAATTTGTATGACATCTATAATGGGAATCAACTAAGATTGGCTGAGTCAAGTAAGAAACTACAGTAACAATTGTGTTTTCTTGCTTTTTACGTCTCTTAAAGTTTTCTTTGTGGTGGTGTTACTTTTTTGAGAAATTATTTTGGTTCATCTGAATTCTTGTAGGAGATAATTACAATAAATAAGATTCATGACCATCTATGTTTTCTTTCTGTTTTGACACCTTTAGTAGTTTTCACATTCAAGTTAGTATGCTTTGTATGTACACATTGTAATAAGCTTTGTTTACCACAAAAGCAGTATGAGGAAGGAGCTGTATCAAAAAATTTTAGAAGCATATGATCAGTGTTTCAATAATCTTCCTCTTATTTTATGGTACACAAGACCATTTACACTGACAGCTAGTACATCCTGGGAGAATTTTTTGCATGTGCATATACTATTTTTGTATGTAGGTTCAAAGAGACTATAGAAAAAAAATACAATTTAGCTGACATTTGTAAGAGACTTTGATAGAAAGATTAAGGAAAAATGGAGAATTTAGTTAGTTCCACTTGAATTAAACTTTATTTTATTTTAAACTCTACTGGCACAAGGATTACCTCTTTTTTATTATTGTGTTATTCTTGGTTGTTTTTAAATCTGAGATGAAGGAAGGTGCACAGGCTGAGTGATTGAAGTATATAGCAAACCATCATCTATATCTGAGATTCTCTTGGCAATGTTTTACACTATTCAGATTCTCTGCAACCATGATCTTGATATGAGATAAAAGAAAATGTGTAAAATTTGAAACTGAAACTAAATTAACCTAATTCACCTTTTAAAATGTTATATTCTATTGCCAAAATGGAAACAAGATCTAATGGCTAACAGATCACATTTCTCCTATGAATAGTGAAATGATCATTACACATCATTGCTTGTAAATAGAGTGCTATGGGCTTCTGTTATGAATTTCTTTTGAATGTATAATATGTTAATGAGTTTATGTATTAATTATTCCCTCAGAATAAGTGCTTGTTCTTTATTAAATTCTATAGAATGAACCAGTTCAATGTCCTCATAGCTTGTGATTTTTAAATCACACATTTTCCTTCAGTCCTGTAGCTTTGCTTTTCTCTCCCTCACTCCTTCTCATCATCTGCCATATTTGTCTAATCAATTTTAATCAGTTAGATGTTTGATTCTGAAAAGACAGTGGGCAAACATTTTGGGAAAACTGACTTATTGTCATGTAGAGACTGAAAATATTGTGTACATTGTCTATTTGTTTGATTTTAATATTTCAATGCAGATTACCCCCATGAAAATACATTTTATTAAAGTCTGTACTTTTACAAATTGAATTAAATATATTTAGACAGCATTCTTGTGGGTAATTTTCTTAGGCACAATAATATGTATTAATATTTTATTTATGCAGCAGATATATACAAAGTGTTGAGATTATATAGTACTGTATGAAACAATAATATTTAGCTACTATCAAATTTAAAACAGCATTTATAGCTTCAGATTTAAAAATTCCACTTTCCTATGCTGATTTTCCCATTTCATCAAAATACCTATTATATGCTGATAGTTACATGATTAAAATGACCTAAAATTAATTCAATAATTGAATAAAGAAATATTATATATTTTGTGTGCTGCTTTATTGTGACCTTATACCTGCTTACTTTAGTATCTGAATAAAATATCCATATATGTATGTGATTTTGCATAGTTTGAATTTAAATAGTCTTTATATTATTTTTCATTATGGGTATCCAATATATGACAACACTTTCCATTTGGGATAATTAATTTTTGTCTCACTATTCCAGGTCTAGAAAACATTAATGTTTTTATGGAAATTGACAGTATTAGTGATTCAGTGGATGGGGATGATCATCATGTTTCTTGACAGGGAATAATTTTACAAAGTTCAAAAATGTTCCTACTGGACTGACTGCCTGGTTGGGCCTCAGTGGAGAGGATTTACTTAGTCTTGCTGGGACTGGATGTCCCAGGATGGGGTAGTACCAATGGGTGAGCTTCCCCTTCTCCTTGTAGAAGGGGAGGGGGTAGTGAGGGAGGGATTTATAAGGGTGGAATTGAGAGGAGAGGGGTAATGGGGGCTTAATCTGAGATGTAAAATGAATAAATAAATTAATTAATGAAAAAACATTCCTAGTGCATTTTTATGTGCTTGTATTGGTCAGTATAATTTATACTCATCTTTGGATTTCAGCTACCAATTATACGGCCCAGAAAAGGCTTTACCCAATCTTGGGATACTTTTTTTTGCCATGAATCTCCAGTACAATGACCATGAGGGACAGAGTATATCCAGATTCTTGAAATTTTTAGACTTGATCCTTTTCATGTGTTAGTTTTCCAAAGAAGTCAGTCTCCCTGAGGTTTCTAAGACTGAAGCCAACATTTAAATGGTGGATTCAGTTAATGTAGGATTATTATATAATGTGTGCTTGGATGAAGAATGAAAGGCTGGTTTGATAAGAATTATTATGGTAGAATAAAGTGGACTAATTGTTCAGTTAGGTCCACAATTGTTTTTAGTTAAAACATGATGGAAAGAAATCAGCCAGATAAATTTTAAAAAGTATTTAATAGTTAATGCATGTGTGAACATCATGAAATAGAAATATTACTTGTAAGTAAAATGACAGAGGAGTATTGGCTATAAACTTATCAAAATGTTAAAACTGATATAATTTTCATCTTAAAAAGGCCCACAGATAGTTTAGAACTTTAGATCCCTAATCACATCACTGTGTGCTTTTCCTCAAGGGTTACTAGAGACTGCCTTTTGCTTTTGTGTATGTAGTATAGAGGTCATCAGATTGGGCAAGATTTCTTCTACTGAGTCACATCTCTAGCTCCAAAATGGTCTTATTATTTCTTGGTTAAGTAGTTGTAAATGTTCAAGATCACATTACAATTTTACAAAACAGCCTTTAAATAAGTATTTCCACTAACATATCTAAAATGATGAGATCCAAATCAAGGTATAAGGACTTCAACTTCAAAACTATTGAATCATTGTTATGAACATTCTGTAATTTCTCCTTAAAACCGATAAATTGGTAGCTCATAGACTTGTGATAAAGTTCTTGCTTTCACTTCCTGAAATGAACTTAAGGTAGTTTATCATGTGAAGCATCAATTGTCAGTGACCTTCTTTTTACTTGAGCGTTCCTGAGATTCATGGATAGGTTATTTGCTGAACTTCAGCTCTCCTGTATAATTGCAAATGAGTCAAATTTCTAGTAAATAGATTTTGAGTAGATTTGAAAAAGTTAAAGAAAAATGTCAGACTCCTAGGGACTTGTGTGGTTCTTTTCCTTTCCTTTAAGAATTCAACTCTGCTTTAGTAAACCTATAGAATACTCTTGTAGCATTGTCATTAGGAGATAAACAGCAGCTGGGCATTTCAAGTGGTGTCTGGCATTCTTCCTTTAGGCCAGGTGCTGTGTCTTAAGACTCAGGAGGATAGAGTTAGATGCCTTTCATGAGTACATGACAACAGTACCAAACAGCATTTTTCCTCTTGAGGACAAAGAAACCAGCTAATATATGCTCTTGGAAGACCATTATTTTCTATAGTAGATATTGAAGAGTTCTAGAACAACATAGACATAAAGTCCAATGTGGATAGTCTAATTGGATTTTTCACTTTGGCAAATGGAGAAAACTAAACACTTAGCTTTTTTCTTTCTTTTTATATGCAGGCACATAAGCTCATGTGTTAGTGAACAGACACTATTTAAAAAAGCATAGGAATTGCTTTGATATAACTGACAGAATCAAGATTCTCTTTGCTCCCTTTGTCAAGTTTAGCAAATAATTGAGTGGTCTTAGTATAAAAACCAAAGCTTTAATAAAACACTATTATTTTATTCATGGAAAGTAGATTCCCAAAGAGAAGGAAAGAAATTTCTTATGAAATTAGTTAGTCATCAGACTGGCATTAGTACTCAAGGCTTCTGAGGTCTAGTCCAGTTGATTCTTCTCAAATTAATCAAATTATCAGCTTTCCATATACTATCAATTTGGTGATTTGATAGACTCATGATACATATCATTCTAGAACCATAGTATCATCCCCACCACCACCATCATCATCATCACCACTACCACCACCATCATCACCACCTACCATCATAGATAGAGTATTATGTTGAACCATGCATGCTAGAATTGATATGTGGCCTGCAGTATATACACAAATCCTGTTTTCAAGTTCTCCAGAATTATTCACTAAAGTACTGCTTCTAACCACCAACTACAATATGCTGAGATGCCACATCTTTTAAGTTCAGATTCCATTTTAGAGAATGTGACCCAAGTTTGAACTCAGATAAACTACCAGGTTGGTACCTAGCATAGTTTCCAAGTTGTCCCCCAACAAAACCCAGGCCTAGCTCCTGTCTCTAGGCTAATCCCCCCAAATCACCCTCAACAAGACCAGTGTCTCTAGGTTATTTCCCCAACAAACCTACACTCCCAGGTTACAAGCACATCCCCTGCCTAATGACCACTAAGGCAGAGGGGAGCAGAAATTAAATTTATGATATGACTCTCAGTACCAGCCAACTATATTAAGGCCAGAGCAGCTTTTCAATTAGATGCATGCACAGCAAGCACATTCCTGCTTGCTGCTTACTATAAATCCTTGCCCTAATAGACATTCAGGGCTCCCCCACCACTGAAACTGTCCTTAGTGATGGTGGTGCTCTGGGGGGGGGTGAGCTAGCTGAAATAGAATAAAGACCCTGTGGTGAGTTGCATCAGATTGGCTCCTGCCTTTTTTTTTTTTTTTTGAGGGGGACCACTAACATTTTCCTGGCACAAAAATACTACACCCCTGGCAGTTATTATCCTGATACTAAGAATAAAGAGAATAAAGGTTGATATGTCACAAATTTATTCAGCTTGGGGGGATTATTCTTCTTCTTCTTCTTCTTCTTCTTCTTCTTCTTCTTCTTCTTCTTCTTCTTCTTTTTTATTTTTGAGACAGGGTTTCTCTGTGTAGCCCTGGCTGTCCTGAAACTCACTCTGTAGACCAGGCTGGCCTCGAACTAAGAAATCTGCCTGCCTCTGCCTCCCAAGTGCTGGGATTAAAGGTGTGCGCCACTACTGCATGGCGGTGGCGGGGCGGGGGGGGTTCTTCTAATAGAAATACCAATGTGGAATGTTTAACTTATCTTGACCTAGTAGTTTTGAGGAAATAATAGAATGGAGAAATGTAAAATGAATAAAATGGAAATAATGTTCATATGCAACAAATACAGAATCTTCGTAGTCAAAAAGAAAATCTACCATAAATCAATATAAGTACCATTGTTTGAGTAATACATTTATTTGTGATTTTCTTTCTAGCCACTTTAGAACATTAATTTTTTTCTTTAATATATAGATACAAATGAAGAAACTCTTTAAGGAAACTAATATCTATGTTGTTGGGTGCATATTTCTTTATGAGTGCCTCTCTGTACTAATCCTCATTTTAAGCCTATGTTAACATACCTTTAATAAAATTCCAACTCTGCTTCAAAACAAAATTCATAAAGGAAACATTCACTTTAGAATTGCTAATTAGACAAAATAGGGATGAAATAAATCCCATTACTTATCACAGTTAGCAATCTAAATATTCTTACTATGACAGATGATGTCTGCTGAAATAGCTAGTATGAAGAATCCACAACTTAAAAAATATCTAATATAGCTTTAGAAGTTTGTCAATGGGCTATGGAGAATTTACATGTATATACATTGGTAGATTTCCTATAACTTATGTCTCAAGATGGTGCTTACCTCAAAACAATGAGAGGAACTTTTCTGAAATTAACTTTCTTGAAATTCACTTCTTAATGTTCTGTTGCTTTGAAGAGACACCATGACCATGGCAACTCTTATAAAGGAAAGCACTTAATTGAGGCTTGCTTACAGTCTCAGAGATTTAGTTCATTGTCATCATAGAAGCATGATGGCACTCCTACAGACATGGTGCTGCAGAGGTAGCTGAGAGTTTTTACTATGACAGGCCTGACCACTCTTCTTATTGGTTGAATGTGGCTCTGGTTTTTTTTGAGTAGGAAAGCAGTTGAACTCTTTAAATGAGGCTTAATTGGCCATAATGATAGGAGCAGGGGACACAGTGCTGCTCAGAGCAATGTAGATTATGACAGTGGTCTGGCTCATGCAGTTTCAGAGAAGTAGTATAGAGATCATTTTTGTGACAATTTGGCAAAAAAATGTGGCTTTTTTATGCCCTTGTCCAAACATCTGCCTGAGGCTAAATTGAAGAGTTTTTGAATAACTGTGTTGGCTAAAGATC